AAACACTGCAACAACCACAACAGCAACAGCACCATAAACAGCAACAACAATAGCAGGAGCAACAGCCGCAGCAGTTTCAGCAACAACAACAACAACAGCAGCAGCAACAACACCAATAGCCATTACACCAACAATACAAACCACCACCACAGCAAGAACACACACACACGACAATAACAACAACAACCACGTCAACAAAAACAACGACAACAGCACCAACAACACCAACACCAACACCAACAACAACAACAACAACAACAACAACAACAACAACAACGGCACTTCCAACAACAACAGCAGCAACACCAACACACACACACAACACCAACAACAACCACAACAACCAGGCAACCCGTGTCTCTGAGATCAAGAGAGCACCTGGACGACGGCGCCAATGGGGGGCCCGCCTGTGCGCGTGGCCCGGACGGCAATGTCTTACAGAGGCGGCGCCCGTCCAGAGCGCGAGCGCGGCTGCCCACTTATTATAGCGCGCGCGGAGCCCGCACAGTACAGTGGAGGCCTGTCCACAGAAAACCTTCCACAAGAAACCCAACCCTGGAACCTCAGGACGTCCACTGATTTTTGGTATGGGGACGTCACGCTTTCCATGGCAAAACCATCGAAATCCAAGAAACCCAGGGCACCCTGGAGGCACGCAGAGTGCTTCCTGGCATGGGCGCCCACTATATAACTTGAAGAAGAGCACGCGCGCGCGAACGTGGCCCGCACTGCACTGCCTGACACGGGCGGTGTCCCTTGCGCGCGCGTGGCCAGCAGGGTAGGAGTTGGCACATTGCGCACGGGCGGCGAGCATGTTTTCACCTGGCAGGCGAAACACACCAAGCCAGGTCCGGTCTGGCGGTGCTCGAGGCCAGGGTCAGGGTGAGCCGTAGGGTCCGAGGTAGTGGCTAGGTGAGCGGTCGGATCAGGAGTCAGGGGGTGAGGGAACCGAATCAGGGCATGTGCGCGAGCAAGCACTTGCGCAAGGGTCAGGACAGAGGTGGTGGCAGGCACGGGAGCATAGGGGAGCAGAGAGGAGAGCGAGGAGGAAGGGGAGGGTCATAGCAGAAGAGAAAGGGCGGAGGAGAGGCGAGGGGAGGAGGGGGGGAATATCGACGCAGAGGGACGGCGGAGAACGGAAAGCGACAGCGAAGGAGGGCGAATGGAGGGGCGAGCATGGGGGAGGGAAGCATGGGGAGAGCAGGAGGGTAGGCGAGGGTAAGGGGAGGGGGGATCAACATGGAGGCAGAGGGACGGCGGAGCACATGAACACGACAAGCAACGATGGACGATGACGCCCGCTCCCCACACCCCTCTCAGGTCTTTTCCTGGCCAATGCTTCGAGCCGCGTCCAGCCGTCGACGACGTCCGATGCCGTCGACGACGTCCGATGCCGTCCAGCGACGCCCGATGCCGTCCAGCGACCAATTCCCAAAAAATGACGACGTCGATGCCGTCCTCCGCCGTCGTCGTCGTCCTTCGTTGTGGTCGTCGTCGGCGCCGTCGTCAGCGCCGTGATCGGGGCGGTCGTCGGATCCGTCGTCGCAGTCGTCACCGCAGCCACCGCCGTCGTCGTCGACGTCGTGGTCGTGGTGGTCGTGGTCGTGGTGGTCGTGGTGGTCGTGGTGGTCGTGGTGGTCGTGGTGGTCGTGGTGGTCGTGGTCGTGGTGTGGTGGTGGTCGTCGTCGTCGTCGTCGTGGCCTCAGTCGTCGTCGTAGATCGTCGTCGTAGGCGCCAGGCCTGCCGGCG